CCCAGTGGAGAAATGAGGGGTATGACAGCTGTCTGTGCAGTCAGTTGCCTCATTTCATTAACCAGAGGCTGGGAAGGGTCAGAGGTGGTGATGGGGGCAAGGGGTGGAGAAGCTCAAAAGGCGGAGAGGGTGCGGAAGACTAGAAGGGGCGCCTTTACTGGGTAAGTGCGGGGCTGCGGAGAGAAGCCAGAACTCGGGCCTGGCAAACATTTGGGAAGCACTTTCTACTCAACCCGCTAGGGAGCGAGGAGCCGGTTCCCAGGGCAGAGGGGGTTTGGACCAAAGGCTGTCTAGAGTTCTAGGCCACGGGGTCTGACTAGCTGATGACTGGAAACCTCGGCTTGGTGTCTCCAAGTGCCCCCTGAGCCTTCGATGCAAACACATAGTCGCCAAAAAGGAAGAAAAAGGCCCGTTTAGGTCCAGCCACCAGTTTTTCTGCACAGGAGGGAGAGAATTTCGGTTTCCCCTTTGGAAGCAGCTAGCAATACTTTCCCTGACTTCATTCCTCCGTTTTCTGTACTCGCTCCGATATCTGAACCATTCTTTGTAGCTAACTTTGGCCTTTTGTTGGCTGATATTTTAACTTTGTGGTTGTCAAAGTTGACAGCCCTGGCACAGATTGGGAACATAAGAAGGTAAAGCCTGGTGTGTAAGTTAAGACTACAGTTGTCTTCAACATGTAGATTGCTGGGTCCCTATAGACATCTGGCTGCCTACCCCTATTCAGTTTCTTTTACCCTAGCATCCACTTCTGGTACCATTGTCTTTTTCCCAAGCCCAGGTAGGAATACCTCCTTACAGGGTGGTAACTGGACAAACAACCTTTTAGTTCTCGACCTCAGTTCTGGACCCCAGTTTGGGCATCTTTTACAGGCAGGGACAAAAGCTATCTATCAGGGACGTGGAAAGAATTCGAAGAGGACTTGCATGTCCAAAGCCTTGAGATAAAATAAATGCTTAATAATGTTATCCCCAGTCCTACAAAATGGCCTGTGCTCGAAGGTGAGCAAAGTTCTCTCCTTTTTATACGTTGGTCTAATGCCAGCCACCCAAGCTGCTTCTAGCATGCATGTCCTCTAAAATGGAACTGAAAGCCAGATCATAGAAGGGGAGGGAGAATATAATTTCCTATTGGTCCTGAGGAGGAAAGGAAGGGGTTGTTAGATTTTTGATAGAACACCAGACAAGTGTCCTCTCTCTCTCTCTTTCTCTCTCTGTCTCCCTCCTAGATGAGGAACAGGACTGTACAGTGATGGAAGCTGTACTTCCAGTCTTGCCATCTTTTCTATTGCTGACCTCTTCACCCCCTTTCTTCCCTAGAGGGCATCTGGGTCAGTGACAATAAGTATGAGAGAAAGAACAAAAAGAAAGAACCTTCAAGGAGCCAGGACCTTTCTGCTAGACTTCATAAAAATTTAACATGAAAACTTCTGCAGAGTAGAAGGCACATAACACATGCAAATCATATGCTAATCACATGCTAATTTAAAGTCTGGCCCTTGGAGCTCTGACATGCACCTTGGCTATATAGCCTTGGGGAAAATTCTGGGGAAACCCCTGGGCTCCTGGAAGGTAAGGATTCCCCTGAGGGTCTTGTTATGGAATTTATGTTCCTTTCAGGATTGGAGAGAAGTTTAGTGTGTAATCTGAGATTAGGATCAGTGTGAATGCAGAGTCATTCATTGGTAGAGGTTGGTATAGGATTCAGACTGGGCCGTGTTTGGTTAGGAGACTGTGGAAGTCATCCCTCCTCACCTCCTTCCCGCCAGCCCCACTGCTGTGTCCTGCTGTACCCCTGGATTGACTATCTCTTATTCCTAAGCTCACAGCCCACTGGGACCTCCTATTTTGATCCCCAGAGAGGCTCTAGGTGAACTATCTCTGACCCCTCCCCATTTCCCAGCATTCTCTCAGATTTTGGCCCCAGGAAGACCTCCTGGATTAGCCCTAACTGGATACCTCCTTGGACGAATGTGACAGCTGCAGGGGAAGCTATGAGGACCTGGTGAGCTGGCAGCTTCATTCCAGAGCGTGGGGAAAGAGCAACAGAACATGAATAAATTCATAGAGCTGGCCCCTTGGCTCCCTGTGAGCCAAGCCTGCTCCCCCCTACACACACACACACACACACACACACACACACACACACACCAAACACAACCGATGCTTCCTGCAGCCTGGCTGGTCACCGCTGCTCACAGCCTGGGCTGGAGACAGCAGAGGGGTGCTCTAGAGAAGAAACCTGGCATCTGAAAGGGGCTAAGGTGAGGAGGTAAAAAAAAGGGGGTATGGATTAGTTGGGTGGATGAAGACCTGGGCAGAGAGGCCCTCTGCTGAATGGAGAGAGAAGAATGTGGGGAGAAAGAAGAGGGGTGTCAGGACTTGGGGTGGATGAGGCCTGAGGCTATGAAGGGGAGACCGGTATGAACAGGGACTTGCTTTCTCTGATCCATCCATCATGAAGCCTGGGGGAGCAGATATGGCATTAGACATGCACAGGGCCGACATGGCCCTCAGCCCCCCGAGGAAGACAAATGGTGACAAAGACCTTGAATAAAATTTGTATTTATGGAGGAGGAAGAGCCCTTCCCCCACTGGCTGCCAATCCATTCTCTACCAATCCTTTCAGGCAGGTTGGGACCTTATCCCACTCCCAGCAAAGGCCCAGCCTCAGCCTCAGCCCCAGCCCCAGCCCCAGCCCCAGCCCCAGCCCCAGCCCCAGCCCCAGCCCACTTCTTTCTCCCGATTGAGAATGAAGAGATGGGAGACCGAAGAAGGAGTGCAGGAAATGAGAGGTGAAGAAATCACCTTCTCCTGACATCTGTGCCCTGGTGGGCATGCCTTGTGCCCTCCCCAATTCACACTCTTGGCTTGTCCTACTCTCCAAGAGGCCTCTGCTCCTGTCTCTTGTCAGAACTCCAAACACCCCTAGATCCTTCTGTGCTAATCCCCACTCTCCCAGCCTTCTATCCCCTGAGAAGATGTAGCTACAGGCTTTCCTTCTGCACACTGATGAAAGCCAGTATTCCTTCTTGGTCACTCTGAAAGCAGGCATAGTCACCTCTACAGGCCATCTCCTAATACCTAACCCATATTTGAATCGTGTTACTATGCACAATCAACCCAACATCCATTATCTGGGGACCTGATTTTTCTAGATTTTTCTCTAGTTAATAAACAGTTGGGGAGGTCAAAAGGAGCCACGACTGGGGGGTGATGAAGACTGGGCTGGGCCAAGACTGAGGCTGTGCCAGTCTGGGCAGGGCAAGTAAGACTAGCTTTCTGACTTTCTCACCAGGAGATTCCATGGGCTTTGGTCCTCGGACAGAATAACTGGCTTCTGTGGGGCTCAGATTTTAGTACTGAGACAGAGACATACAAATACCCTCTTCAAGCAGACTCACACGTGTGTACACAAAGACAGCCCACAGTTCACAATCCTACTCACCCAGGGACAGCATCCCACCACACACAGAGTATCCAGCACTGTCACAAAACACAGACCCATAGCCTACCACTCCAGCTTGCAGAGCTGCCCCGCCCCCGCGTCTTCTCCACAGTTGATATGTCACATTGGAGTCCGAACACGGACCTGGGTGTCTCTCTGCAGCGCGCCATTTACATTTCTCTCTCGATCTGTCAACCTGTCTGGGCTCCCTTCTCTCTCTCTATGTCTCTGTCTCTCCCTCTCCCGCTCTGGGGCTGTCAGTCTCTTTTCGAAGCTTTGTCTCTCTGTCTCTGCTTCTGTCTCTGATTTCTCGGCTATCCGTTTCCTGCTCATTCCCTAGTTTCTCTCTCTCTCTCTCTCTCTCTCTCTCTCTCTCTCTCTCTCTCTCTCTCCCATCTCGCTTCTGCTTCTGTGTGCTATGAGACAAACCCCCCCCCCCCCATCATAGAGACCAGGGTAGGAGCGGGCGGCAGATTTGCCTTTTCCCAGTCTGGTCAACAAGTACTGATTGAACCCTTTGCCATATTCGGTATTTGGTTGGGGCCACCGAGGGACATGTGATGGCGAATTGCTATTTATTTCTTCTGTTTTCTGTTTGTTATATATGAGTCCCCCTCGCCTCTTGTTTAGCTCTGCAGTCCCCCTCTGAGGTTTTTTATGTATATTGTAGCCTGACCCCTGTTTACCCCATCACTGTGTCCATCTCTCTTTAAGATCTGAGAATGACAAACTCCAGGGTTCAGGGTGAGAGTGAAGATCCCTGCAGAGCCCCGGGAGCAGGCAAGGAACCTGAGGGCCGGGGGCTCGGCGGCGAGGTGGAGGGAGGTGGCACGGCCTGCCCCGCCCCCGTGCTTCCCGCTCTGGGCGCCAGGGGTCGCTCCGCCTGCGGCCGCTTATAGTGGCTCCTGCCGCGCAGCGACTCACACCACCCGCACTGCTGCCGGGGAGGAAGGTTAGGGACGCAGAGAGGGAGAGCGCTTGCTGGAGAGGGACGCCTGGCTAGGGCTCTGATGAGAGCTGCGGCCACCGCGGCCGAGGGAGGCAGGTAGTGCTTTCTAAGAGCTAGAGTGCAAAATCTCCGACGAGGTCGCGTCCAGTGAGAGCCCCACCCCCACACCCCCGCGCCAGCACAGAGCCTGGGACGTCAGGAGAGCGAAGAGAGGTCCCCGGTCTAGCCGGGAGAAATCAGCGAGGGAAGCCCGGGACCCAAACACTGCCGTCCGCAAGAAAGCAACTGTCTGGAGAGGCGGCATCTTAGACCTGTGAGAAACCAGCCGTCCAAGAAGCTGCAGGTCTCGGGCGCCCTGGATCACTAGAACTGCACCCGAGGGTAATATCAGACTATAGGTTCCGAACCCTCAAGGGCTGTCCTTGGCCCAGCTCACGGGGGGCGGTGGGGAGGAGATCGCCACCCTGACAGGCGGTTTGGGGAACAGCACTGCTGTCACAGGAGGAATTCGCCGCGGCAAGGTGGTCGGGCACAGCCGTCGGGAGATCCAGACCGGGGCCCGAGCCCGCGGAGAGCCCCAGGCCCCCGCCGCCATTGCGCCCAAAAGTGAAGAGGATTTGCTGGCCCTGGCCGCGTCACGGCTGAGCCGCCGCAAGCGGGTGGCGGGCGCAGCCGTCGGGGTGGCCATGGTGCTGCTGCTGCTGGTAGCCATCCCGCTACTGGTGCACAGCTCTCGCGGACCAACACACTATGAGATGCTAGGTCGCTGTCGCATGGTGTGTGACCCCCATGCATCCCGAGGCCAAGGCCCCGACGGCGCGCCCGCCTCTGTGCCTCCCTTACCTCCAGGTGCCAAGGGAGAGGTGGGGCGGCGAGGGAAGGCAGGCCTGCGGGGGCCACCAGGACCCCCAGGTCCCAGAGGGCCTCCTGGAGAGCCAGGCAGGCCAGGTCCCCCAGGTCCTCCTGGCCCAGGCCCTGGAGGGGCAGCGCCCCCTGCCGGCTATGTACCCCGAATTGCCTTCTACGCGGGTCTAAGGCGGCCTCACGAGGGTTATGAAGTGTTGCGCTTTGACGACGTGGTGACCAACGTAGGCAACGCTTACGAGGCAGCCAGCGGCAAGTTCACCTGTCCCATGCCAGGCGTCTACTTCTTCGCTTACCATGTGCTCATGCGCGGAGGTGACGGTACCAGCATGTGGGCCGATCTGATGAAGAATGGACAGGTGAGGTTGCCCCTCTACTTAGCCCCAGATCTTGATAATGACTTCCTAAAACTCGCTGCGCTCACTTTACAATCCAGCTCCTCCCCTGAAACACTATCAGGGTATCCAAGACTGCCAGGCTACCAAAATTCTAACGTCACTTAATTTAGTCAAAGAGGAGGGATTAATTAGAGGGTCTGGGAAAGAAAATCACCCGTGCAAAGTCTCACAGGGCAGTAGACCGAGGTCAGAACTAGAACTCAGGACTCAAAGTATAATTTCTCTGCGGCCTCAACCTCACGCTCCGACCTCCAACTGTAGCCTGCCAAATCAAATGTCCTTGGTGCCTTACCCACCCCTTAGTTTCTTCTTTCTGCCTTGAGCTGCCCTCTCTACGGAGGGGTTTTCTCAGTCAGTGGTTTTCCTGGCCCTGCCATGGAACAAGCTATTAGAGAACCTGGTGTCAGGGAATGGAATGGAATCTCTTGTTTGGGTAGCAGCAGTCTTCCCCCAGGTGTAATCATTCAGCTTGGATTTTCAAGGAAAAGTGGAAGGGGGGTGGGGGAAGGAAGAAAACACTAGCTTGCCTCTTTGCCAGGTCCTATTTGTTTATCCCCAGGGTCTGGGGCCAAACCTAGACCAAGCCTTGCCCTTGGCTGACACTGTGTCTGTACGCAGAGTGGACAAGGGTCTGCTGGCTCAGGGGCTACATAAGTGGTGGGGTAAACCAATTTGGATTTGGGTTTGGAAAAGCTAGGAGACAATGGACAGGAAGAAGAGAGGCCTGGTCTACGGGGCCTACACCCTCCCTGGCAACCTCTCAGATTGTGCTAGGTGTTGCCTCAGTGGGTAGCCAAAAAGCATTGCCACCTAAGGTTTGAGGAGATAGCCCCCCCAAAAGACTCACATGTTTGAACAAGCAAGATGCCATAGGCTGGGGGAGAGAGCTGCCTCTGCTCTGCAGGATGAGGAAGGTTTGGACTGAACAGTGACCTCTGAATGTTCCATGGAACGGGTGGGGCCCTGGTGCATCAGGCCTACTCCTCAGCGTCCCTCAAGCCTTGAGGAGCCCTGCGATAAGGCTGAAAAGCTCCCGGACCCCAAGAGGACACCACCCCAGCCCACCTTCTGCTTCAGCTTTGGGGTCTGTTCCTAGCAAGCCCTCCCACCGGAGTGTGAGGAAACGGAGTTGCCAGGCTGTGCAAGCCTCTGTGGGGTTGGCAGTGTTGGTAAGAGAGTGAGCGTCCCCATGATGCAAGTGTATCTGTGACCACCATGGAGTCCCAGAGTGAGTAGAGCTTCGTGTCTTCCTTCTCGTGGCACCGAGTAGGTAGACTCAGTCCGTGCCAGGAATCAGGTTGGAGTGTGGTGGGGGGGCGGGACGGTGCGGCTCTCACTCTGTATTCCACGGAGCCAACACTGCGGCCCTAGGATGGTAAATAATGATTGAAATAATGATGAATAATTAATGATTTAATAACCAGTCCCGATGGGATGGAAACTGGGGGAAGGGGCTGGCGGTGTGACTGCTGCAGACCAGAGATCACAGACCAAAGGCAGTCCCCCACACAGTGGGGAACCAGGTGACACTCCCCAGGGAAGCCCAGGAGGCCAGAGGGCGACAGTTCACTTTCCTCCTGGTACAACACAGGTACAGCATAGCTGTGATAGCTGTGGACATGTTTGCCCCTACACCTCAGGAAAGCTAACTTAGGAATTCCAAGCCAACACAAAATCCTAGAAGTAACCGGAAAGCTTTTTTTTTTTTCCACAAGAATAGCAATTCTATATAACATTTTCTATATACAGAACATGGTTCTGAACTCCATGAGTAATTACTCATTTAATCTTAACCACCTCATGAGGTAGGTTCCTTTATTATTACCCCTTATTGCTCTAGTAGAGGCCCAGAGAAGACATGACCTGTGTACCCAAGTCATGCCTGAGAAGCTCTGTGGTCTCCTAGCCCAGTGGCTGTCAACTTTCCGAATGCCAAGACTCTTTTATTTTTTTTAATTTATTTTTTATTTTTTTTTATTTTTTGGTTTTTCGAGACAGGGTTTCTCTGTGTAGTCCTGGCTGTCCTGGAACTCACTCTGTAGACCAGGCTGGCCTCGAACTCTGAAATCCGCCTGGCTCTGACTCCCAAGTGCTGGGATTAAAGGCGTGCGCCACCACCACCCGGCGCTGAGACTCTTTTAATACAGTTCTTCATTCTGTGGTGGTCGCCGATCATAAAATTATTTCGTTGCTATTACATAACTGTGACTTTGCTATTTTATGAATTGTAATGTGAATATCTGATACGCAGGATATCTGATAAACAACTCCCAAAGAGGGCCAATTGAGACCCACAGGTTGAGAACCACTGCCCCGGGACCTCAGCCATCCTAGTTCCAGCAGTCAACCAACTCAACCCCCTCGGTCAATTCAGCTCTGCACAGGGTCTGTTTTTTCCCTCCCCCCTCACTAGGTCCGGGCCAGCGCCATCGCTCAGGATGCAGATCAGAACTACGACTATGCCAGCAACAGCGTCATTCTGCACCTAGATGTGGGTGACGAGGTCTTCATCAAGTTGGACGGTGGGAAGGTGCACGGCGGTAACACTAACAAGTACAGCACCTTCTCGGGATTCATCATCTACCCGGACTGAGCCCAGCACCTTTTCCTACTCTCATGTTCCTTCGCCCGCGCCCTCGACCCTTCGTTCTAATCCAGACCCATCTCCGCTAGCCCTATCCAAGGCCCCATCCTCAGAGCCTGCGGACTCGCCCGCTCCCCAGGCCACCTAAATGGGGGCGATTGGATTCTTGGGCTTAAGGATTTTAAGTGGCTAGGGGAGTCTAGAGATGGGAAAGCCAGGATGAAGAGAACCGCTTAGGGAGGGACTATCGTGTGATCCAATGAAACGGGTCAGAGAGACTTGTGTGTGGCCCTCCCTTCTGCCTGGAGCTGGGGGAAGCTTCTCTAATGGAAATCAAAGTCTCACAGGGAAAAGGGGACGTCCTGACAGCTTGGGAGGAAAGGGCGGAAGCAGAAGGAACCTGTCTAGGTGAGAAGAGACTCTGGCAGGTTAGATAGGAACCTCAGTAGCCACTTTCTTTCCCTTCCCCTCCCCCATCTCCATTTTTCTGGCTCCAACCACAGGCAGCTTTCCTGTGAACTGAAGGACTTCCTAGCATTAAGAACTCATTTTGTACAGTTCCCATTCCACCCCTCTCCAGGCTAGGTCTTGGAGCTACAGATTATGTCACTTCTCCCAATAAAATGAGGTTGGGGATTTCGTGTGCCTGCCTACCTTAGTACAAAGTTGGAGGGGAGGCGGTGGAGAGTGGCTGGCCCTTGCCTGACACCCTGCTTGTCGATATTAGCAGGGGATCTATCTCTGATCTATGCATTTAAGCCTGGCCAGGCCTTCCTCTCCAGAAAGAGAGTTCCATAAGGGAGGATGGAGTGGAGGAAGGACCCTTACAATAAGGGAGGATGGAGTAGAGGAAGGACCCCTTCAGGAGTGTTGTTCTTACAGGCCTGGGTGTGGAAGACTCTAAGGGGGTAGGTTTGGTGTGCCTGCACAGGAAAAGAAGTCTAGCCTCTTTTTTTTCCTTTCTTGGTGTTGGTTTGTGGTTTTTCCTCCTTTTGAGATAGGTCATAGCTTTTTGTCCAGGGTTGCCACCAATTCTTGGGTTCAGGTGATTCTCCTGCCTCAGCCTCCAAGTAGCTTAAGGCCACAGGTGCCCAGCTGAGTTCTAACAGTAGTGTTTTAGATGAGGGAGTACCTGGTGGCCCCCAGGAATGGGACTGATCTCAGAGAGAAAAGGTTCCGTAATTTTTCCCCAACCCACTCAAGAATTTCTGAGAAGGTAGGCTGTAAGGTCACGGCTGCTGAAGAGGATGCCCATGGTCCCGAGTGTTTAATCGCCTCTAAATTGGAGCACACTGCCACCCCGTGGACCACTGGAGAACAGCACTTGTTGTCTCATTCAAACACAATTTATAGAAACTTTATTAAAGGATAAAAGGGCGTCGGCTCCCAGTCCAATGGGCAGGTCAACAATAAATAAGGCTGAAGGAAGGGTAAGTGCCGCAGAGCAGAAGCCCAGCAAAGGCCGGAGTCATGACGGAGAGTCCTGAGGGACCACAGGGCTGACTGGAATGAAATGCTGGAGGGGGGGAAAAAAGAGGGCTTGTCATATTCCATGACTTCTCCATAGAGGAAGCAAGGTCAGCCTGCCGCTGTCCCATAGGCTTGCGGCATGCTGGCGGTATCCTGGAGGCTCACCAGGGCATCTTGCCATTCAAGCATCCTGGCCACAGGGTTGGTGCAGACCCGGGTGGGTCCTGGAGGCAGAGTTCGGCTAGTGTAGAAGGCGCATTCATCATCCAGGCGAGCCTCATGGAAGCAGTGGATGGTGGTGAGACACGCTCTGAGGCGCTGCCTCAGAGCCAGGGTTCGAGGAGCCAAACTGCTGGGGCCTGAAGGCCATGGAGAATTCAGGGGGGCCTCTGGAGTTATATTTCTTCCAGGTGCTGCCCTCTCCCTTCTCCTCCCCCATGAGCACAGCCACTTAGAAATACACGAGAAAGCAGGCATGGCACGGCCTGGTGCGAGGCAGGGCCCACTCCCAGAGAGACAGAGCCTTTTCTTCACGTCATTTCCCTGGCAGATCCTTACCTGAATAGCCTGTTGGGGATCTCAAAGAGTAGAGTGAGTGGATAGGGGGGCTGGCACAGACTGGGCTTTGTGATGAGAAGGTCAAGCTGGTGGTTGCTGGAGGCCCCTGACTGCAGCAGGGCTGTGGGCTAGACTCTGGGCTCCCAGCTTCCCGAGCGCAGGCTGCCGATGCTGGGCTCCTAGCTTCCCGAGTGCAGGCTGCCGATGCTGGGCTCCCAGCTTCCCGAACGCAGGCTGCCGATGCTCCCAGCTCTATCCTAGGGCAGGCCTCGGGGGGCTCGGCCTGTCCCAAACAACTAGGCAGAGGGGGCCCAGACAGTGCTGGAAGGCAAGGCTCCAGCGGCTCTGGCTCAGCTCTGGGTGGCACTGGGGGCTTTAGTTCTGTGGTAGGGCAGGGCTGAGCCGCCTTAGTCTCCTCCCCAGGGCAGGCCTGCAGATCCCCGAGCTTTGCTGCAGGGTGGGGCTGTGGCTCCTCACTCTCTTCTGTCACACCAGAGTGCTTTGACAGTCCAAGAAGGGAAGTTCCAGAAGTGTGTTCTGGAGCATTCAGAGTTCTAGAAATTTCAGCCATCCGGGGCTGAAGTTCAGCCATATCTAAATTGGAGCCTCCATTCAGAGGGGCACAACTGCCCATTGCTAGCCCCTCTACCTCCTGCTGCAAGAGCTGCTGCAAAATATTGATGCGCTGTGGTGGGAGAGAGTATCCCAGCGTGTCACCACTGTGTTCACAAGGCCCCCCACACTGTCATCCCCCACACCCCCACCCTTCCTCTTAGCTGTCCCTCCCCCAGCCTTCTCATAAAGAAGCCATCAGAGCTGCTGCCCCCACAGGCCCACCCGCATCCTTAGCTCCTGGTGGCTGGGGGTTCCAGAAATGCTTGCCACAGATGGTTTCCCAGGTCCCTTCTGCAAGGTGATGAGACTGTCCTGGTCAAACAACTTCACAGCAATCTGCTCCTGCCACAGAAGGAAAGGGGGCGGGTGAGGAAGTCACATTAAGGTGGAGAGAATACTGCCCTCACCCTCTTGGAATGGATCAAAGCTCCCTGGTGGTTCTTTTAAAAACCAGGAATGGTGATGCAGGCCTACAATAGAGCTGATATTAGCTCTCAAGAAGCTAGGGCAGGAGAATCAAAAGTCTGAGGCTCAGGCTGCTGAGATGCCCAGAACACATACACATAGAAGAAATTTTTTTCAAAGTTTGAGACTATCAGAAGATATGCAGAGGCAGACAGACATTCTAAATATGGAATAGGAAGGACAGATGGAGAGGCGAGAGGCAAACCACACCTACCTCAAATCACAAGGCTGTCAGCCCTCCAGGCCAGTGGGACAGTGCCACAGACCTCAGTACAGGAAAGCTTTTGACACTTACCCAGGGCAGGGCAGGCTCTTCCGGGGAGGAGTGAGGGGAGCGGCCATTCAGCCACTGGGCCTGTGTCAGACAGGACAGACCACCCATGAGTGATACCCACTCCTCTGGCCTGTCATAAACACCCCAATCCTCATCCAGTACCTGCCTGCCCTGCTCTAGTCTTGGTTCCCACCAGTTACCTCCTCTGTTTCTCTTACCTGCTGAACCCTAGGTAGTGACCGGAGGGGTGTGAACTGGGCTTTCCGTCGAACGCTAAAGCATTTCCTGGATGAATACGCGGTCTGAGAGGAGAGATGGGGTTGGCTGAGCAGGGTTTCCAGCCAAACACTTCTCGTCCTGCCCAGCCCAAGGGCTGTTACAGCTGAGAGGCCTGGGGAGCAAACACCCTGAGCCTGTCTAAACAGGTGACGGTTTGGTGACAGAAGGTGGTACTACATGGCTGGGCTACAGACGGGAGCCATCACTGTCCAGTGGAGAAACAAGGCAGGAAGAGCAGCCTTCCAAATCCACCGTCCTGTGCCTTGTTCTTCCTGTTCTCACCCCTACAGAAGCTACTCTTTTGGAGTTCATGTAGCTAAGAGGCTGGCTTGAACTTCTGATCCTCCTGCCCCTGCCTGAGGAGGCTGCTGGGATTACAGGCACCTGCCACCATGTCCGGCGCTTGCACAGTTATTTCAAGAGGGAAACCAACCATCTCTCCCTATTCACGCTTTCCCCCCTGGCTTTCCGTTCAGCCCAAGAAAGAGCCAAGAACATACACTGGTTTGTCCGTCTGTCTGTCCTTACCAAGAACTTACACTGCTCTGTCCATCCTTACCTCATCTCACTTGTTGTCACTGTAAATTCATCTCGGACCTTCTTCTAGTCTAGGCTTCAATCTCCCTGGTCTGTTTTGCGGCTCACAAATACTAGCTGTCTCCTTCCTCGGGCCTCCTGCATCTGCAGCTCTCGGTTAAATACCCTCCCCCTCTCATCGATCTGAGTCCCAGCCTCAACTCTTGGTCTCACACACAAGTCTCATCTTCCCAGTGACAGTGCCCTAGTCAAACTACATTTTGTAAAAGACTGTTTAGCATCCCCTTTACAAACATTAAACAGTTTTCTTCCTAATTTATGTGTGTTGGGTGCCCGTGTGAGCCAGAAGAGGGCGCCAGATGCCCTGAGAGGGAATTACAGGCACGCAGTTATAAGCTGACCAGTGGGCGCTAAGTTACCAGTCCTATTCATCCATTCCCCTACACACACACACACACACACACACACCTTCTTTTTTTGTTGTTTTGTTTTGTTTTTTTTGAGACAGAGTTTCTCTATATAGCCCTGGCTGTCCTGGAACTCACTCTGTAGACCAAGCCGGCCTCGAACTCAGAAATCCACCTGCCTCTGCCTCCCAAGTGCTGGGATTAAAGGCGTGCACCACCACCGCCCAGCTTCTATTTTTAAACACAGGGTCTTGCTGCATAGCTGAGGCTGTTCTGGAATTCATGATGGAGCAGCCCAGGCAATTCTCCTGCCTCCAGATGCTGAGTTAGTCATGTACCACCAAGCATGGCTCTAAACTACCAATTTATGACACCAATTCCCCCTCCCAAGTCCTTTTAGTACCTTACGCATTTTGTTTTAGAAAGAACGTGTCAGCACGTGACACCCTATATATTTTACATTTGTAGGTTTTTTTGTCTTTTGTTTTTTTGCCCATCCCCACCCCATTTTAGAATATAGGATATATTTTAGAACTAGAACCATGGCTGCATTCAAAAGCCAATCAGCAAATATCTGTGGAATGAAGGAATTACTATGTTTGGTTGGTAAGTGTTGGTTGCGTCTTGGCCATGGCACTTTATGGTGACATACACAGCAGTCTGTCACCTCTCATCCTGGGTCCCAGATCCCCAGTAAAGGCAGTCAGCTCTACCCTGAAGAGGGCTCGGTCTCAACCCCAGCAAAAGACCAAATACCCTGAGTCTCAGGTCTGCCAATTCTACCCATAATCCTCAGTATGCCGCCTGAACACCCAGCCACCATCCCAAGAAGGTCTCTTCTCACCCTGGTGTGTGTTAGACTTTCTTTTAATGGTACTCGTTGAGCCAGACCCAGATGGGGTCTTCCTCCTCCATCTGAGTGAGGGACAGCCTCATGTTCTCCCCTGAGGGGTAAGTTAGCT